CCATGGTCACACCGTCGAGAACTGAGATACTTGCTATTTCCTATTAGAAGCATTGGAGACAGAAGCCTGTGTAAATATTAGCTGTATTTCCTGGCTTTTAGTTACTTCCCAAAATAGATGCCCTCAGGGAATGTATTGCACCTTGTGTTATTGTGTAGTTTTATGACTGCAGGATGTGGTCACTGTGCATTACCTTTTCCTGAGATACAAAAGGCTTGGCTTTTCTTTTTTTATCGTGTTGCAATGAAACTATTCATCCCACCCAGGATGGCGTATGCATTAGGGGAGAAAAAAATAGCACAGGGTACACGGTAAACAAAGAAATTCTGCTTTTCTGTTTGCCTTCAGCCCATCTATCCCCTAAGGTGAAAGAGCCCTATTAGCACAGGAAGTAGCATACTCATATTCTTAAACTTCAAATCTGTATTTATTTTCCCATTGCACTTAGCACGATAGTTACCTATTTATTTGTGTCAAGGAGGATTACAGGCACTGCTCAATTATAAATGATGCATACACAGATTCTATCCTGTCTTTCCTAAAGACCTTTTGGGCATTTGTCAGACTTCAACGGGTGCTTCTTTCTCAGTAAACAGCATTTCTGGTAGTGGTGCTGTGGGTAGTTTTAGCACAATTTCAGGAGGATGCTTTCCATCCCCACGTCATTAATCCACGGTGCAGAGATACTGCCTCGGACCAAAGGTAGGAGTAGGTGTGCTTTTATGAATAGGAGGCTCGTGCTAGGAAAGCCTGCCTCTGTCTCGTTCCCTTCAGGATCAGCCTTTTGAATCGTAAGTTCACGTTCTGATGCTGTAGGAGGAGAAAAGCGCAGATTTTTAATAAGGCAAAATATGTATAAAAATTAAATGATTTAAGAAAAGGAAAGAAACAGAGAGTTTGGAAAAGGTTATAACCCCCCGTCCCCAGCATGAAGGCATTAAGCCTTTCTCTGGGAGAGGAGGACGCTTTCCCTGGAGGTAGTTTATCTCATAACTTCTGATACCACAAAGGTCCTTCTCCTTTTCTTTGAAGTCCCAGCTACTGTCAGGGACAGAACAGAGCAACAGATGAACCATGGACTGGATTTACGGAGACGCCCTCGGTCTTTATACCAGCTTCAAGGCAGACACTGCACTGGGGCTTGGTGCTCCAGAGCTGCGCTCCTCTGTCAAAGGAAAGAAAAATACAGAGGAGGCTCAAGAATGAATTGCAAAGAAAGAAAGAGATGGTGAAATGTGTTTTCTTCTAAAAGCTTGGACCATTACAGGAAATGAGACAATTTAAGGCTAGGTGCCACAAAGCTGCTCTCAAATTACCTCCAGCTTGAATCCCACTGCTGGGAAGGAGCTGTTTGACTCTGTCTAAAACAGCTGCTTGTCTTGTCTTTGATAATAGGCCAGCCCCAAAGCCATGCCGAAATAGAGCCTTTCTCTTCCTTATTTACCGCTTTATTTTTATTTCTTTTTTAAATAATTCACTCTTCAAAAAAGTGCCAGCCCCCGAAATGGGAAACAAGTAGAGGCTGATTTTTTTAAGACCTCTTCACCTGTGAAACAAGCCAGCTCTCTCTTTCTCAAAGCTTTGCCAACAGCATGCAACATGGAGCAGGTAATAGTGAGATGTCAGGAAATGAAGGGCGGTGATTGCAAGAGCCGGGCAGGGCTGCTGCTAAGAGTAGCTGGAACGTGTCCCAAATAGTGCAAAGCCCAAACCTGAACTCCCCGACTCCTGGTTATTTGCACCATTTTTAAAGAGAAATAACACTACTCTGTAGAGACTAAGAGAAACTGTGATTACAGGTACACTAAAACATTGGGTTTTTTCCCCCGTGAAGATTCTCAATTTCATTTTATTGCAGAACACCGCTCATTTTGGGGAGACGCTTTCAAAATGCTTACTTAGCTGGATCTTTGTTACTAGTTGCTGCACCTCAGCAGATTAAAGGAACGTTGTCAGGGTTGATAGGCCAAAAAATTGATCTACTTTGACAAAAAATCCCATCTGTGAAGGTTTTTACCTTCAGGATGCTTTCCATCTCTTCCTCTTTTTCAAACTGATAGCAGCTGTCAGCAGAAATAAAAAGAAAGCAAACAAACTAAAACTCTGCAGGACTCACAGTTAAACTAACCATAAATAAAGTACCGCACAAGTTCAAGTTTGTTTTCCTCAAGTCATGCACTAAATTGCTAGTTGCTTGTTTAAAAAAAAAAAATGATGTGTATGTAGTTCAATGGTAGGAGTGATTTGGTTTGAAGACATTTAAATAGATGGAAAAGACCCAGTAGTATGGCTCCCAACAGTCCTGTATTTTTAAACTGTTTACTTGTTGATTTGCCAGAAGCCATGAAGAGCCCACAAACTGGGTCAGCGAGTGCGCGCTTATGGTTATTATTTATACAGCATCCAAAGTGTACATGGCACCCGCTAGGCATATAAAAGCTCCAACCTCAAAGAGCTGCAGCCTACGGAGCTAATAATCATGTTATTAGTCACCCAAGTGCTACAGGTTGGAAGCTCGTGTGGCCAGCTCTCTGTTTCATTGCATGTCTTGTGGTATTTGGTGTTTTCGCTGAGACCCGCAGCTCCTGGAGTCCTGTGACTAGGAAAGACTCTCAGCTGCTGGTTTGGTTTTTTGTTTTTGTTTTTAAATGAAGTTTCTCTCCTTGTTTGGGGAGAAAAGCTTGAAAATGTGACCTAAGCACAGCTTCTAGGGTCACGATCCAAAAGGCAATTAAAACACTGCAAACTATATTTCACAGTTGTCAATTGTTAAAAAAAACAAAAAACCTTCCCTGATTGCAGGGGAGAGGTGACGTCTGACTTGCATTTGCTTGGAGATTGCAAAATTAGGTACTAAGTGGGCACGTCTACACATTCATTAATGCACCTTAGATACGGCACATGTAATTTAGTACTTCCTTTAAGTAAATGCACAGTACCTAGAGGTAGTGCGCAGTAGCCACTGGCGCACGATGATATAGTGACGCTTACCGCGCATTAGCCTAATAACACTGCACAGGAGGCTATTAGCCTGGTTTTTGCCGTGACACGCTACTGCGCAGTGTTATTAGGCTAATGAGTAGTAAGCGTCTCGTGTAGACGCATGTGGTGTGTCCCAGAGCCCTGCTGCCAATGGCAGGTAATGCTTACATGGAAATTGGCTTATTCTTGCTCATGTTTTTCAGCCTGCTTGTGCGAACAGGGGAAACTACAAAGCAGCCTCTGTGTCAAGTACTTCTGTGCCCCACCTCTTTCTTTGTTACCTGAGTGTCACAATATTTCATGTATTTATCCCTGTAAAGCGGGGAAGGATTATCATCTCTGCACTACAGATGGGATCTGAGACATGGAGACACCGAGCATTTTTCCTGGCCCATGTAGGAAGCCTGTGGCAGAGCAGAAAACTCACCCTTGCTGTCCCAGGGTGGTGCTCTAACCAGCAGCCCACATGTCCTCTCCTTCTCTTCAAAACCTGCACTTACTTTCTGACATTGCCATCCTCCCCGATGGGGAGCTCCAGAGAAGCTGGAGCGGGAAGAGAAGAGCAGCAGACGTTCCCCTATTTGTCAACCTGCTTTGCTGCGCCTTGCTGTGCCCACCGGATTGAATGCTTGGCAGGGCTTTCTCCTGCAGCAACAGGACCAAGAAAAATGCTTCTCAGAAACGCAGGGAGAAAGCATTTAAACCCCCAAGCCCTGGTACAGGCACAGCAACTCTTCGGCACCCTGGGGACTGCAGCTCTCCCACACCTCCCTCCCCTACCAACATGCAGTTGCAGAGGCAGTGCCATTTTTGGCTGGCTGTTGTCGACCCAAGATTGCCAACTGCATGTTGGGTTGTTGCTGGTTTGTTCACAGGATCACCTTCCCAGTACAGCTCCTTCTTGGTCTCCCTTTTTCCCCCCTGGCTCTGCGCTCTGTTGCATTGCAAGTGATGCATTACTCCATCCGCCCCCAGAGCATCAAGATCCTACATAGCTGCCAAAAGCTATGTGCTGTCTCTGTGTGTGATCAGCTGTAACGCCTGGGAGCAGTGGGCCCGTTCAACAGGAAACACCATCCCTCAGATTTCAAATGTTGACTCTTGGCAACCCCGCTTCCCCAACCAAACCCAAAGTGTGACCCAGGTAACTAATGATCGTGCTCATTAAAAGAGCAAACTATTCCACCAATGCTTCGTGGATGGTGGGGAGCAAAAATTGCATCCCATTCTTGGCAGCTGGTTTTTGCTCAGCTGTACTGCAAATAAGGGACAGATGGAGGCTTCTTCTGGAAGTTGTGTTTGAGCTGAAAGTGGGGAAGGATGGGACTTACCTGTCCCTCTGCCTGGATTTTTACTTTACTTTTCCCTCTGGATCGTGGCTTTATCATCACAGCTAAGGACAATGTGACTTCCTGGCTCATGAGTGCTACAGGAAAGCAATTTTTTGCCCTGGAAATCTGGAAGATTGCATTGTCAAAAGTTCAGAAGCTAACCCCTGAACTGCCGTGCATGATTTTATCTTTTCCTCTTCCCAAATGACTCTAACGAAGCTACTTTGAGAATATAAATAGAAAAGGGGACCGTGGCCCAGCCTGCGCTGCTGGTAGAAAAGGATGCAGTTGTTGAAGAGGTGGATTCACAGATCCGACTCCGAACACATTCAGGAGGTGATGGATGGCTGTTTAGTAACTTTAAACTACTCTTTATCTATGGAGTTTCCCCCCGGAAAGCAAAGCAAAAAAAATTAAAATGGGTAGAGAAAACTCTGCTGTTTTGTTTTCAGGCTATAATATTTCTAATACGTTAATGTATTCCGAGGACACTTCCTCTTGATTTAGCCTTCCTCAGTTTATTTTATTATACCGTGTATCTGTGGCATTTGGTGAGGAACCATTGTAAATGTGAGAACTAAGCAGCTTGCTAGATAACATTTTTTTTTTCTCTTTAGAAGATTAAACTGAGACTGTTCTGTCTGATGCCAGAATAGATTTAACCAATCATGTATCCTTTACATGTAGGTCAGTCAGAGGGACAATCCGGCACTGGATCCTATTATCCATGGGTTGAAGGGCGTCGTACATCATGGTAAGTAGCTGCTTTCACTT